AACTTAAAATTAAAAAAATTAATACCAAGCCCCGGAGCAGCGCCCGGGTCTGAGAGCTAGTACCTAATAAAAGTTATAGTTCATTTCAAAATTTAATTTATGAAATTGAAATCAAATGAAATTGAGCTAAATAACGATACATTTATCTCACTGGGTAATATAAATCTTTAAGAAAAGAATGTCGTACTTGTATAATATCTAGCCTTTACATTTACTTTCAACATCCAACATTACATATTCACAAGCGTTCATCATCTCTGCTAACTTTTAATCAGAATGAATATATTCAATTTTAATTCTGTTCGGTTATCTTTTATCGTAAATGAATATCTCATCCTTTTCAACTCCAACATTATATTATTGAATTCCGCAAGCATTCTCTATCTCTGCCAACATTGATATAATTTATACATATTATCAAATGGCGAACACGAATCATTTATTTATTATTGTCTTTATCTACCCCATACTTATAGAGAGGTAGTTCGGTTATAACAATAGTTAGCATCTGAAGACAGCTACAATAATAAGAATTAGTTGGTAATTGTCGATGTATATTATTTATAACGATGGTGTACAGTACAGTAAATACCATAAAGCACTGCCTTTAGTATCACCATAATAACCTTATATATTGGGATTCCTGATACATACAAGAAAAATTTTCGTGGAACAAATTTATTGTGACAATTCGCTTTTAAATGGCACCCATAGTATTTTACACGTATATGCATTAATTTAAATTTTTTTTAATTGATGTATGATGCTCTAAGTAAAAGTTCTCTACGCCTCTAAAAACCCTTTCTGAACTTTAATCCTAAAACCTAACTCCAACTTTGAGTAGTGTTTTAAACAAGCTAAGGCGGCTATGTCAGCCGGCATTATATGATCGACTGGCTAATGCGGCTAGAGATCACATGATTATAAGCTGTAAGATTTAGTTTTATTACGACAAACTTCAGAGAATGAAAATGTGCATAAAATACGAGTAAGATTGAGTTAAAATTTTGTGAAATTTTCCAAAGATCCTTAAGGTAAGCTGTTTGTCTGCCGCTTAGTCCAATGTTTTATTTAGTTAGTTGGCCTAGCAAGTCAACTAAAAACATGTGACTTAAAACACTAAACATGAGAAGGTTAATTTAAAAACATAGTATGTATGATAAGTACTAAAACACCATAGGTGCGTTTTAAATTTATTTTTAAAGATTATAGGAACATTATAGTTTAAAAACAAGTTGAACAAGAAAAAAGGGCTTTGAGTACAAAAAGCACTTGTGACATTGCGAGAGCATGTATAGGAAACATACAGTATTTTGCAACACAAATCCTATTTACTTTAAAAAGAATATGACTCGTGAGATACACGAAAATGTATGAAAAAAGAAAAAAGATGAAAATGACAAAATGAAAATATCAAAATGAAAACAAGTGAATTAAATACTAAAAAAGATATGACAATTTATGATAACTATGCTGTGAAAAATTTTCTATGAATGACTAACCGTACTATGCGATTACTATTCAGCTTTTTTAAAAAGGATTTAATTCCTGCGTCTAACTAAAGCACGCTTTCCTAAAGCATTGCGTTTGAATTTACTATAAGAATTGTAATCATCGTAAGAGTTGTAAGATTTGTCGTAGTCATCAGATTTGTAAGAGTTGTAGTCATCGTAAGAGTTGTAAGATTTGTCGTAGTCATCAGATTTGTAAGAGTTGTAAGAGTTGTCGTAGTCATCAGATTTGTAAGAGTTGTAAGAGTTGTCGTAGTCGTAGTCATCAGATTTGTAAGAGTTGCCATAGTCGTCAGATTTGTAAGAGTTGTCATAGTCGTCAGATTTGTAAGAGTTGTCATAGTCGTAAGAGTTGTAGTCATCGTAAGAGTTGTCTTTTCCGCGTTTTCCGAATTTAGCTAGGGCCCTGCGCCTGCTATAGCTATTGTAATCGTCTCCCTTATTATAGGTATCGTAATCGTCTCCCTTATTATAGGTATCGTAATCGTCTCCCTTATTATAGGTATCGTAACCGTCTCCCTTATTATAGGTATCGTAATCGTCTCCCTTATTATAGGTATCGTAATCGTTTCCCTTATTATAGGTATCGTAATCGTCTCCCTTATTATAGGTATCGTAATCGTCTCCCTTATTATAGGTATCATAATCACCGTAGTCATCGTAAGATTTGCCGTAATAGCCATCACCGTAATCATCGTAAGAGTTGTCACCGTAATAGTTGTCATCGTAAGATTCGTCTCCGCGTTT